CCCCCCCAGCCCCATCGGGAGCTGCCCCGGGCATCCCCCCCGCCTCGCTGCCTCTCAGCCAGACTGGTGACACCTCCTCCTCCTAATCTGGGGGCAGGCAGGCAGCTGAAGGATGTGGTGCCCCCTCCTGCCCCTGATCACAGATGAGCCGTGGGTATGTTTGGGACCATCACAGCGCGGGCTGTTGGCATTCAGGCAGCTCAAGGGTAGTGACAGTGCCCAGGTCTCAGCCACCCCTGTTCACAGCCTGCCAGCTCTGGGACACCGTGCCAGCCCCATGCTGTGACCTCCCCGCCTGCACCGCACCACATCCACCCCTGCGGGAACCTGCCATCCCCAGGCGTGTGACCACATCTCAAGGGGCCAAGTAGGTCCATCCCCAGCCTTTTGCCTTCCAGACTGCACCCAGGGCTGTGGGGCAATCTGGTCACCAGGTGTTCGGGCGGCCCCGTCCTACCTTGGCAGGTGAAGCAGCGGATGTGGAAGTGGTTGCTCTGGACACGCACCACCTCTCCCTTGCAGGTGTCCCCGCAGCGGTAGCACTGGATGACGGTGGAGCTGCTCCCGGGGGTGTAGGGGTTTTGCTGATAGGGAACTGCTGGCAGAAAGGAGGGAGGGAAAGCGAGAGAGGGGAAGGGTCTGTTAGTATTCAGGACACAGCCGGGCATTGCTGCACTGACCTCAGCCCGGCAGCTACAGAAGAGCCCTCTGGACACAGCAATGGGCCATCAGGCCATCGCTAAGGGCAAAGGACAACCGAGACCTGGTGAGCCTGGTGACCCTGAGCTGGGTGCACATCCCTGCCTGGATTCAGGATTTCCCGATCCCCACGAAAGAGCCACTACCTCACAGGTCTGCAATCCTAAGCGCTGTGCAGTGCAAGTGCCCGGGCACTGCTCCTGTCCCTGCATGCACAGCCAGGTCACTTGCACCATCGCCCCAAAACTGTGCAGAGCTCCCTGGATGCTCTCCGATCCCCCAAGCAGGTGCAGAAGGACAAGGCAGGGACCAGCTACCCACCGGCTCTGCTCCGCTCAGCCCTCGGGCAGTCCTGGCTTGCTGGTGACCCGCTCAGAAACGCGCCAGCGAGCACCGATTTGGCAGCAGCATGGGAAGGAACTGTCGTTTTTTGTAGCTTCCACTTGTTTGGTTAGGAACTGGATGAAGAAGTCATTTTTCAAGGAGCTTTCAAACATCACAGCAATTGAGTGTTTGGCCCTGGTGGGACTCTCACCTCCTCAGCAAGGAGCAGCATCCCGATCCCACTGCTCCTTCCGGAGCAGCACCACGGCGCGTGCGGGCTCTGTGCTGAGCTGGGGGCCACAGGGGAGGGCAGGGTTACATGGCTCCCTGGAGCTATTGGGCAAGAGCTGACCCCCTCCTGCTGCAAACGGTCCTGGGGCTCACCTCCACTCCTCACCCCGCTCCAGCAGCTCTGCAGACCACCACGAAGGGCTGATGCTCTGCAACCCTGCCCCACGCTCCAGGGGAGGAACTGTATGGAGCAGGGTGTCTTTCTGCTGCCTCAGCATGATCCCCAAACACACACAGAAAACATTTTAAAGAGCAGCTCCTGCCTTCCCTGCCCCACCTGCGAGTTATGGGCTGCTCACAGGAGCTCCAGGCTGGCCGACACCATGCCAACTGCTGCAGGCAGGGGCCAAGCAACAAAGGACTTGTTTGCTGTAAGATTTCAGAGGGAGCTGCAATTCGGGCAACTTGAGCAGTGAAGGGCAGGATTTCAATGGACCAGAGACTTTCTGACCCAGTGCTGAACTGCATTCCCAGGAACAAGAGAAGCAGCTGATTGAAACCTGGTGTGTGAACTCCCTCCAGAGCAGGGAGGAAGGGGCACAGGACAGAGGGGATCACTCAGCAGAGAGGCTCCGTGTTCACCGTCGGGCAGATCATGTGACGGGGAACAGAAGCAGCCCATTATTGGCTTCAAAAGCAAAGAAAGAAAAGTCAAAATGACATTGAGACTGTCTCACAGTCTAATCCCAACCCATAAGCCAAGTGCCCAGAGACACACTCTATGGACGTGCAGCACTGCTCACCACTGGGAAAATGGGCTGACACCACCACCCCCCCCGCTCCATCCCCTGGGGTTACACAGCTGCTGGGGACTGGCTGCCTCGCCAAGTCTGACCCGATGGCTGCAAGGAAAGCCGAGGCATTTTCCTGTCAGCATCCCCCAGCGAGGCTCAGGCTCCAGCCTTGACGTGAATTTCCAAGAGTTGCTGGGACTTCCCACCGGATCACGCTCTTGCAGAGCTCTGAGAGGCCAACAGAGGTACTTGAGGAGATATGAAATGGGAGTCAGGCCTGGAGCTCAGACCAGCAGAGGCACTAACTAGTCTAGATCTAAATCACTTTGAGGTCCCAAATATGATGAAGGACACCTGTAAAGGGAGCAGGGTACCCCCACGCAAGTTCTGCAGGCATATTTTGCAGGGAGGTGCAAGCCCTGGCAAGAGGGGTCCAGGACCTCCTGCGGCAGCTGCTGCTGGTGGGCACCAGGCCTGACCCCAACAGGATCTCCCAAGGCTGGAACAAACAGGGGATCCCTTCTGTAGGGGTCTCCAGCAGAGCAAGAGTTACAGCACTGAAACTTCCTCCCACGCACCCCATGCTCGCACCCTCGCCGGGAACGAAGCAGAAGCCAAGCCCTGGGACACAGCCATGGCAATCCACAAAGCTCGGAGAGAAAAGAGGGAAGGAGGAGGGGTGAAAGGCTGGGAATTAATCAACACTTAAACAAACATTAATAATAAAAAAAGGGGAAGAAAAAAAATAATCAATGTCAGAAAATGTAGGCATCGCTTATTCCGGGCTTCTGGTCTCTAGGGGAAACTTCTTGGTGTCCATAGCAACACATTGCCAAGCCCCTGCACTGGCAGGTCTGATGGGATGGAAGGCAAAGGAAAAGGAGTCGAGGATGGGAGAGATGCTTATAGCTGCACTACACCGCTGGCAGAGATGAAACACATACGGTCACTCCTATTTGTACCCATGGAGATGGGTCAGGACCCGGCTTAGGGCACCGTCACCCTCCCGCCTACTGGCTTTTTTCAACACTAAGCCAAAAGCTCCCTGATTTGTGATTAACCTCCGGCCCATGCTGGAATTTTGCTCCGGGAACATTAATGCATTGTTTTGCTGGGGCTCTGCTTGTTTTTGAGCAGGCAGCTGCCCGCCTCGTGGCCTCGCGCAGGAAGCATTACACATCGCAGCACCCCTGAGCAGAGGGGACAGCTGAGCAAGGCAAAGCTCATTACACCAAAATAATCCAGTAATAATGTAAGTAGCATTAGTGGCCTCGCAGGCCGAGATACAGCAGTCAGGGTGAGGGGGTGGGAGCTGCCCAAGGAATGCCTTAATCTCACCCCAGTTTGCTCCCGCTTTTGCTGGTAGAGCGGGAAATTAAGCTGACTTCACTCAGCGACTGCTCCACACACAGCACAAAAGGCTGCACAGGACCGGGTTCCTGCAGGGCTGCCCCTCGCTCCGAGGAGCCACTGTGGCCACAGCCAGGCAGTGAGCTGCTTGCATGGGGCTGCGTAGGCACACAACAGATTTCCCACTGATCCGGATTAAGGAGCACCTCTGGTCAGGGATCGGTGCCCTGCACGGTCTTAGGGACAGACAACAGCAGCCACTCACAAGCAAGGGAGCTTGCAACCTGGTGGAGGTGGAGACGGTGCCCCCAAACAACACCCAAGGCTGCGCAGAGGAGCTTTGTCCCTTGGGAAGGCAGAGGGACCTCACCCAAGAGATCCTCAGAGCCACGCTGCAGCGAGCGATCTGCAGGTTCCTGCTGTGCATCCCCAGGCAATCCCCCTCCTTCGTTCCCAGAGCACCCACCTTCCGCTTCAGGAGGGTCAACAACCTTGTTTGTCTTCCCGTTCTCTTCCTGCACGGCATCCCAGCCCTCTACCAAGGAGCGACAGGACAGGGGAGCACTGAACCCTTACGCTGCCTCTGACAGGCTTTAAGCCCTTTGGAGGGGGAGAGGGGAGCAATGGGAGATAATCCTCATCTGCTTTGGGGGGACAGCAGCTCAACACCAATGCAGATAACAGGGCACATCCCCCCAAGTAGGCTCAGGGCTGAAAGGCTGGCACAAAGCAAGCTCCCCTGATTGCTTGGAGCACCCACAGCCCCACCCCAGAACCAAGTTTCCAGGAACACAAGCTGCACTGAGCAGGAGCATTTATAAAGATCCACCCATCAGCCCCTTACTGGGATCAGACCAGGTCCTGCTGGTTTGCCACCTATCTCCCTCTCCCAGCTCATTAGCCCTCCAGGAAGGTCAATTAGGTAGAAACTGCTGCAGGTGGGGTTTGCATTATTAGCAACAGGTAATTGGAAGCTCCCACCCAGCCCGAAGAGCCTGCCCTGATGCCGTGTTTGCTATCAGCATGTTTGTGAGACAGCATCTCCACAGGGGGATGGGGAGGCCTGGTGTAATTAATTACCAGTAATTAATATTTGCACAATGCACAGAGAGCCACAGGTGAGGGGGACTGTGGAAAAGCAAAGCATTCACTCTTTAATTAATAATGAGAAGTGGTGCCACTGTGGGAAGCTGAGGCAGGTGGGTACCAGGGGGTGCTGCTGGGGCTGTGTGCAGGGGAGGTGTCCCTGCTGGGTGCTGTGGGTGCCAGCATGGGGTCCAGCTCCAGGGGTGCTGGGTGTGCGCCTGGGTGAGACCCGAGTTAGGGTGGGTGCCGGGAGGTGAGGGGGAGCGGCAGCAGTGTCTCAGGGCAGATGATGCTGTCAGGAGCCCTCACACCCCCACGGGGCTGAGCCTCCTTCCAGCAGCCGCTGCCTCCCACCCCTCCCAGCTGCCTGGCAGTGAGCGATTCACTGCAGTCACCCTCTGCACGATCCCTGTGCCAGCCGGGGCTGTAAATCGTCCCCTTGCAAAATCCCTCCGGGGGTGGTGCCACCAGCACGGCATGGGGGGCACATGGGACGCAGCTCCCCCGGGGAGGGCAAGGGGAGCCGGGCACCTGGCCCCCGAGGTGGGCTTGGCTGGCAGACCCCATGCCCTCGTGTCCCTAGGGAAGGGCTGATGCCACAGCACGGGGTGAAGGCAAGGAGGGGGCTGGGAATGCAGTGGGGGCCAGGGCAGCTCAGGAAGAGGAAGCCCAGCCCCGCCAGCGCATCGGCCCCAGAGGCGTCGAGGCCGAGGGGCGGCAATGACTGGCCAGAAAGGAATTTTGCTGGAAGCGCTGGAGGCTGAGGGAGAGGCTGGGGTGAACCACCGGCAATGGGATACAGTCTGCTGGACTGCGGGCAGAGAGTGATGGGGTGCAGAAGAAACCCCCACTGGGATGTGGGGAGAAAGAGGTGTCACTCCGGGAGCCTGCACCCCAAATCCACTCACCACCGCAGGGATACAGGGCAGCCCAGCCGTCTCTGAGCCCTGTGGGAGGTGAGGGGGAGGATTTCCCCTCCAGGCGGGAGCCGTGCTGCATCCCGAGGGCAGCCAGGGAGGAAGGGTGGGAGCTCCAGCGGCTGCGGGATATGGCTTTCTCATCAGCAGCGGGGATGAGGGCTCCTGCCTGCCATCCCATAGTAGCCAAGGGGCTTGGCTGTGACCATAAAAATGCTTTTGGGGAGGAAGGGAAAGATGAGCTTGGAGCCAAATGATGCTGGTGCTGCAGGCGGGACGGGGAGAGCTGCAGCCGGCCATCCTGCCAGGGCTGCCTCCGACCCCGGGGCACAGCAACGAGCCTGCTTTGGCCACCACGGCTGCTTGCCCGCCCCCGCTCCCTGCCGAGGAGGTGATGGGAG